CATGGTTACAAAAAGACATAAAATTACACAATATATACATATACCTGCAACATATCCCCAGATAGCTTAGATCTGAGCGCACATTATTACCGAATGGCGCTCAGATGACATACATACAGTTCAATCGCCATGGAGCCAAAGTCTTTTCCATAGTCTTTCGTTACATGAATAGGCTCCATGGCATAGCTATCTGGGGTAGCACTACTCACATACTGAAAGTCCCGAACGCCCAGGCAGAAATACACAAATAAACCTTTCTGCAGGGTAAAATACAGCTATCAGCACAGGGGCCATAGTCGGAAGGCAGGAGGCTAGCCAGTAGTCCCCTCCAGGCACAAGTGGCGAAGGGCACTTCGTCACAGAGCTCTCTCCCCTCACCAAAACCAGCCACATTCCTTTCCAAATACAGCCCCTCCATTCACCAAAACCCACTTCAACAAAACATCCCATAGCACTGCACAAAAAACTGCCTCTCTGCTAAGCCAGCATTTCAAATCCTGTTATTTTATAATCAGACCCCAGTAAACTAAACACAGGCCTGGCGGCTAGCTTGAACAAACATTTAGTAGTCCAATTTGGAGTTGACGCATGGAATAGTCCTCCTGCAGACGTGGTGCCTGGGCCAATACAGTTTTATTCCAAACCAAAAGTGATACTCCCCATGCGGTGGTCATAAGGCAGCCATGTTGTGCAATACGCAGCGCTGAGCACTGAAAGACATCACCATGGCGTCTGAGATCCCGCAAATCCCAGAGCTGAACAAACTCTGCCTTATCTTTCTACCTTGTGTGTTTTATCTGACAGGCCTGAGGTCTTTGTTGTCATCAGAGAAAGAAAATAAACTGCACAAGGAGAGAGAAGGGATCCCTATACACTCCACGGAGTGACACACTGCATAATAAACAGTATTCATATCTAAGATGGCTGACACTTCCTAACAGGGAGACAACATCACTCCAATTTTACATAAAACGGCCTGTCTCCTAAAAGACACTTTCAGAGAAAACGAGCGATAAGAAAAAAAAAAAAATTAATAAAAAAAAGTTTACAAGAACAATTTGAATACTAAATACCAGTTTGTGTATGAGTCCTGCACCAGTAGTGGTCAAGCTACACACACTGTTGGTTGTTTTCC